ACAAATTAAAAATATATACACCAGCCAGACCACACTCAGACCACAGTGCAATAAAAATATAAATCAATGCCAAGAAGATCTCTCAAAACCACACAACTAAGTGAAAATTAAACAATCTTATCTGAGTGCTTTGGATAAACAATAAAATTAAGGCACAAATCAATAAATAAATTCTAATGAACACAAAAATAAAACATACCGGAATCGCTGGGACATAACTAAATAAGTGTTAAGAGGGAAGTTAACAGCACTAACTACCCATATCAAAAAGTTAGAAAGATCTCAAATTAGCAACCTAGCATCATATCTAGAGGAACAAGAAAAACAAGAAGAAACCAACCCCAAAGCTCCCAGAAGAAAACAAATAACCAAAATGAGAGCTGAACTGAATGAAATGGAGATAAGTAAAAACATACAAAATGTCAACAAATAATGGTTTTTTGAAAGAATAAATAAGATTGATAGACCACTAGCTAAATTAATAAAGAAAAAAGAGAGACAATTCAAATAAACACAATCAGAAATGGCAATAGATACATTACCACTGACCCCACAGAAATGGAAAAAAAAACCTTTAGAGACTGTTGTGAAGACCTCTGTCCACACACAAAAAAATGAAATCCTCAACAGACCAATAATAAGCTCTGAAATTGTGTCAGTAATAACAAACCTACCAACCAGAAAAAGCCCTAGAGCAGATGGATTTACAGCCAAATTCTACCACACATATAAAGAAGAACTGGTATCACTCCTATTGAAACTATTCTGAAAATCAAGGAAGAGGGACTCCTCCCTAATTTATTCTATGAGGCCAACATCATCTTAATACCAAAACCTAGCAGAGGCAAAATCAAAAAAATAAGCTTCAGGCCATATCCCTGATGAACATAGATGCAAAAATCCTCAACAAAATATTAACAAGCCAAATCCAGCAGCACATTCAAAAGCCAATCCAGCACAATCAGGCAGGCTTTACCCCTGGAATGCAAGATTGGTTCAACATATGCAAATCAATAAATGTGATTCATCATATAGACAGAACTAAAGACAAAAACCACACACACAATCATCTCAATAGATGCAGAAAAGGCTTTTGATAAAATTCAACATCCCATCATGTTACAACCCCTCTACAAACTAGGCATCAAAGGAACATACCTCAAAATAATAAAAGCCATCTATGACAAATCTGCAGTGAACATCATACTGAATGAGAAAAAGCTTGAAGCATTCTGCTTGAGAACTGGAGCAAGACAAGGATGCCCACTCTTACCACTCCTGTTTAACCTAGTAATGGAAGTCCTAGCCAGAGCAATCAGGCAAGAGAAAGAAATAAAGGCATCATCCAAAAAGGAAGAGAGGAAGCTAAAATATCTCTCTTTGCAGGCAATATAATTCTATATCTAAAAATTCCCATAGTCTCTATCCAAAGGCTCCTAAGCCTGATAAACAACTACAGCAAGGTTTCAGGATACAAAATTAATGTACAAAAACAATTACTATTTCTTTACACCAAAGACATCCAAGTTGGAAGCCAAATCAAGAGCACAAGCTTATTCACAATAGCCATAAAAAGAACAAAATACCTAAAACTACAGCTAACCAAGGAAGTGAAAGATGTCTACAATGGAAATTACAAAACAATGCTCAAAGAAATCAGAGATGACATAAACAAACGGAAAAACATTCTATGTCAATAGACAGGGAGAATCAATATTGTTACAATGGCCATACTACCTGAAGCAATTTATAGATTCAATGCTATTTCTATCAAACTACCAACGACATTCTTCACAGAATTAGGAAAAATTTATTCTAAAATTCCTATGGAGCCAAAAAGAAAGTGCCTGAATAGCCAAGAAATCCTAACCAAAAAGAACAAAGCTGGAGACATTGCATTACACAACTTCAAACTATACCACAAAGCTACAGTATGGTACTGGTACAAAAACAGACACATAGACTAATGGAACAGGTTAGAGAACCCAGAAATAAAGCCACACACCTACAACCATCTGATCTTTGACAAAGCTGGTAATAACAAGCAACGGGGAAAGGACCCTCTATTCAATAAATCATGCTGCATTAACTAGCCAGCCATATGCAGAAGATTGAAGGTGGACCTGTTCCTTTCACCATATTCAAAAAATTAACTCAACATGTGTTAAAGATTTAAATGTAAACATAAAACTATAAAAACCCTAGAAGAAAACTAAGAAATAGCATTCCAGATATTGGTCTGAGAAAAGACTTTATGACAAAGACTCCAAAAGCAATTGCCACAAAAACAAAAATTGAAGTGTGGGACCTAATCAAACAAACAACGTTTGCATATTGAAAGAAACTATCAACAGAATAAACAGACAACCTACATAATGGGAGAAAATGTTTGAAAACTATGCATCTGACATAGTTTTATTAGGCAAAGGTCTAATATCCAGAATCTATAAGGAACTTAAGCAAATCAACAAGCATAAAACAACCCCATTTAAAAATGGGCAAAACACAGGAACAGCTAGTTCTCAAAAGAAAACATACACATAGCCAATAAGCCTATGAAAAAATGCTCAATATCATTGATCATTAGAGAAATGTAAGTCAAAACCACAATGAGATACCATCTCATACCACTCAGAATGGCTACTACTAAAAAGTCAAAAATAATAGATGTTGATAAGGTTGCAGAGAAAAGGGAATGATTATACACTGCTGGTTGGAATATAAATAAGTTCAGCCAGTGTAGAAAGCAGTGTGGAGATTCTCAAAGAAAATAAAACAGAGCTACCATTTGACCCAGCAATCCTGTTACTGTGTATATACCAAGGGAATATAAATCATTCTACCATAAAGACACACACGTGTGTATGTTCATAGCAGCATTATTCACAATAGCAAAGACTTGGAATCAACCTAGGTGCCCATGAACAATGGATTGGGTAAAGAAAATGTGGTACATGTATACCACGGAATATTACACAGACATAAAAAAAGAATAAGATCATGTCCTTTGCAACAACATGGATGGATCTGGGGGCTATTATTGTAAGTGAACTAATGCAGGGACAGAAAATCAATACCACATGTTCAAACTTAAAAGTAGGAACTAAACATTGAGTACACATGAAAACAAAGAACGGAATAGACACCAGGGCCTACTTGAGGGTGAAAGGTGGGAGGAGGGTGAGAACTGAAAAACTACCTAAAAGTAGGAACTAAACATTGAGTACACATGAAAACAAAGAAGGGAACAATAGACACCAGGGCCTACTTGAGGGTGAAAGGTGGGAGGAGGGTGAGAATTGAAAAACTACCTATCGAGTGTTAGGTATTATGCTGATTATCTGGGTAACGAAATTATCTGTACAACAAACCTCCACAACATGCAATTTACACATGTAACAAACCTGCATACTTACCCCTTGAATATAAAATAAAAGTTGGAAAGAAAAACGAATAAATAAAATACAAAGAATGGTGAATCCTTTCCAAAAGGATTTCATTTGGCTTTGCCCAAATACATCAGAGGAATCACTGTTGATGTCTGCTATAGCCTTACAAAATGTATTTTTTAAATAATAAGACTTAAAAGTAGAAATTACCTCTTGATCCATTGGCTGCAGAATGTATGTTGTTAGAAAGCATGAAAACAACATTCATCTCCTTGTATATATCTCCATTGGTGCCCTTGAGTTGCTGTGTGTATTGCCAATGGGCAGCAATATTTTGAAAGGAATCTTTTTTTCTTGCCAGTAGGTCTCAACCATGTACTTAAAATACTCAGTAAACCATGCTGTAAACAAATACGCTGTCATCCAGGCTTTGATGTTTACAGGGCACAGAAAAAGTAGATTTTGCATAATTCTTAAGGGACCTAGGATTTTCAGAATGGTAAATGAGCATTGAGCTTCAACTTAAAAGTCACCAGCTGCATTAGCCCCTGACAATATAGTCAACCTGTACTTTAAAGCTTTGAAATCAGGCATTGACTTCTCCTGTCCAGCTACGGAAGTCCTAGATGGCATCTTTTTCCAATTGAAGGCTGTATGTCTACATTGAAAATCTGTTGTTTAGTGTAGCCAATTCTATCAATGATCTTAGCTAGATCTTCTGGGTAACTTGCTGCCGCTTCTCCATCAGCACTTACTGATTCACCTTGCACTTTTGTGTTATGGAAACAGCTCCTTTCCATAAACCTCATGAATCAACCTCTGCTAACTTCCAACTTTTCTTCTGCAGCTTCCTCACCTCTCGAACTTCATAGAATTGAGGAGAGTTAGGGCCTTGCTCTGGGTTAAGCTGTGGCTTACGGGAATGTTGTGGCTGGTTTGATCTATCCAGACCACTAAAACTTTCTCCACATCAGCAATAAGGCTCTTTTGCTTTCTTGTCATTTGGGTGTTCACTGAAGTAGCACTTTTATTTTCTTCAAGAACTTTTCCTTTGCATTCACAAGTTGGCTAACAGTTTGGCACAAGAGGCCTTGCTTCTAGACTAGCTCAGCTTTCAACATATCTTCTTCACCAAGCTTAATCACCTCTAGCTTTTGATTTAAAGTGAGAGACTAATAACTCTTCACCTAAACAATTAGAAGCCATCATAGGGCTATTAATTGTTCTAATTTTAGTTGTGTCTAAAATTAGACACAACTAATTTTAGGGCACTGTTTGTGGCACCACAGAACATTTACAATAATAGCATCGAAGATCATTGATCAGAGATCACCATAAGATATAATAATAATGAGAAAGTTTGAAATATTGTGAGAATTACCAAAATGTGATACAGAGTCATGAATTGAGCAGTGCTATTGACAGAAATGATGGTAATAGGCTTTTTTGACACAGGATTGCCACAAACATTCAATTTTTTGGATATGCAATATCTGCAAAGTGCAGTAACATAAAGCACAATAAAATGAGATATACCTGAATTTATAGTTCTTAATTCAGAAAGTTTAACTAGCCAGCAAACAGTTATTGAATGATATGTTAGACTTAGCATACTCTTAAAGATGTTTATTCCAGATAATAATTCACAATATTGACTCTCAAAAAATATATATTTTGTCACTTGATTTCAGGGGACTCAACGACCTGTGGAAACAACCAGAAGCATAGGTCACTTTTAATTAATAATTATCTTTAATCCACGCTGTTGTACAATTGATGAAGCTATGAACATATGCTTTAAATGCTTATTCACCCATTCATCATCTTCCACAAAGGATCTGACTGTGTGATGTGAAGGAGGCATTAAAACAAATGATAAAATGAAAATCCAACGATAGAATTAAAAATCAAACCTGGGTGAAATACAAATAAGAGAGTAAGATACCAAGACTAAGAAAGCTTAAACATGCAATTCATCAACATTACTACAATTAAGCCTCATATTTGGATTTAAGCTTCTTAGTAGACATAGTAAAAAATGGAAAAATAGTCATTTTGTTATTATAGGCAAAGAAAGGAGTGGTAATGCAAGTTATTTGAATGGAAAAACCATTCCTAGGAAATGGGTAAGAGATACCATAATGTTAATATGTATAGCATGATATAACATGTAATATATAACGGTAATTAAGAATGTTGAAGTCATAAAAGATCTGGATCCGATAACTAATCCCACTATTTAACTTCTGTAAGCTTCAAATTTCTCATGTTAACAAGAATTTTTTTAAATACCTACTTAGTATTATTGTAGAGAACAAATTATGTGATGCATGCTAAGCAATTGAACATGGGCAGCAATACCTACCTCAAACAATTGCTGTACAGAGCAAGTGATGCAAGTGGTGCAAATTAATAAATGCATCATTGGATGGGGGCAAGTAGGGGATTGAGAGATAGCCAATAACTATCTGTGGCTGAGAGAGCTGGGGCTGATGGGTGCATTTGAATTTATGATGAGAACAGTTCCAATACTGCTCTGCTGCAACATACGCTTGACATTCAAAACAATTGTTTTATGTCATTCTCTCTCAAGCAATAGTGAAAAGAATTCATTACAATTAGTGAAAATAATTCATTACAATTAATGAATTAAAATAAAATTAATTAAATATGATGATTCTGTTGAAGTAGTTCATCTGAACCACCTCATTACGCAGAGATATTGTCTTATTCTCCACACTAACTTGGTCGTGAAGGACAGCCTTGATCATCTGAACAGCAAGCCACCTCTGCTTTACCACTCCGTCTTCATCTCATGCCCTATAATAAACAAAATGACAATGACTAGATCCCATTAAATGAGAGCAAAGTCTTTATTTCTCCTAATCATCCTTAGATATTTAATAATGGTTCTCAAGGAATATTGTACATTTTGACAATTCAAGATTCCCTATTTTCATCAGTAAAGTCATCTTTGATTGGTCATCAGCATGCTTGGACTTTCAGAAGTAATCAATATTTTTTAGCACTTACTACTGAAAGCCCACACACTGTTAAGCACTTCACACACATTAACTCACAAACACCTTTTATCCTCATGACAGAACTATGAGGCAGGTACTATTATCCCAATATTGCAGATGAGGAAACTGAATTGCAAAGAAGTAAATTGTCCAAATTATCAAAGTTAGTAAGTGGTAGGTTGAGAGAAAATTCAAGCAGTAATGATCTGGAGCCCACATTCTTAATCAAATTCTGCCAACTGACTTCACAGCAAAGATATCAGAGGAAACTGGGATGTATTACTACTGCCATTTCACTCTAACAAAACAAGTGATCAGATGAGAAAATACTTATATAAGTATGGAAGTTTCCTCACTGAAGAATTTGTGCGTTTATTATCCCCAGAAATGTTAACTCATCTTTCTCTGTGCTCATCCCAAATCTTCAATCCTTTGTACTTAGACCAAATATTTATAGAAAACCCAGTAAACATTGTGCTAGACACAGACTGAATTCTTGTGCTCTCAAGACATTAATTGACTCTGACCTGGATCTTGACCTCACACACAGTAGCCAATCTCTCATATCTCATAAAACCAGTGTGGGATCAAAGTTAAAGTAATTAAAATCTAGCAAAACTTAGAGTACAATTATTGCTTGCTGTTACACATTTTATGATGGATCACTCATGTACTTGTAACATTTTCTCACTTTACAATTTTGCATATTTTATACATAAATTATTTTATAATATGCCTATTATATTTTTATATGTTTTACATGCTCATGACATTTCATTAAACACTTTTATAACTTTTTCTCATTTCTAAGTCACCTTGTTTCCATAAAAAATACATAATACAGAAATAACATTTCATAATTTTACAAACTAAAAAATATATATATACCAAGATAGCTCCTATTGCAACTCTCTGCTTCATGGTTCATGGAAGTCACTTGAACAACTTAGTTACTTATAATATCACCTGGGATGGAAAAACAAACAGGCAGACACTTTTTAAAACAATCCATTGATCTTCCTTCCACTCAAATCCCTACACAGCCCATTGTGGCCAATAAGCAGAATACCTCTTTATGAAGTTATATTACACACTGGGTAAAAGCACAGGCCGGGGCACCAACATTCCCAGTTTAACTCCAGATGTGCCACAAATTCATTGTGACTTTAAGCAAATTTCTTAATCTCTCTGTGCCTTGATTTCCTTGACTGCAAATTGGGGAATAGTAAAGTACTACCTCTAGTACTGATATTTCCTGGCATGCACCAGCCCCAGAGCTCTAGTTCTTAAAATACGGAAATACTTTTATGCTAGTAGATAAATATTATAGCTGCCTACTCAAGCTCCCAGTTTCCGTACACACACAACACTCCACCGTCCCCCAGGGTCACCTCTATGCTCTGCAATGATGCAATTAAAATACGGTACAGCAGCAGAAGAGGAATGAGTCCTCAATAGAGGTGGGACTTTTCTTCCTATTTTTAGGGGAAAAAATAGCAGCATGTTCTTATGTTGAGATAATGCCACAAAGGCTGGGAAAAATTACAGTAGAGTAGAATTAGGTTGAGATAATGCCACAAAGCCTAGGAAAAATTACAGTAGAGTAGAACAGTAGCAAATCACTGGTGCAATTCCTTGAGTAGGCAGATGCGAGAGGTGCTTAATACAAGAAAGACAGATTCACGTTTGACACGAGGATTTGTTCATCTCCGGTAAAAGAAGAAAAAAGAACAGATGCAGTTAGTGGGAAGATGTGGTGGTGGGAGTTTGTGAAATTCTCTTCTAATTGATTCTGTTTCCTAGATCATATGCAAAAGTCATCAAAAGAATAGAGAAAGGTGTGCTGGACCCCTATTGACTCCAATAGGGATGGCACCATATCTGAGAGGCTGAAGAAGAGACCTGGGTGCAGTGAAAAAGACATAGGGTTTATCGGGGGAGCTTATCCACAGGAATGTTCCAGTGGTGACAGGCTGCACAGGAGAACCACTACTGCTGGTGGTGGTGTTAATTTAATGCAAGTCCATAGGCATGAAAACCAGGAGAGTCAATGATATAAATCCAAATCTAAGGGCAAGAAAAGATGAGAAAAGATGTCCTAGCTCAAACAGTGAGGCAGGGAAAAAATGAGGCCAATTCCTCCTCCCCCTTCTTCTACCTTTTGTTATATTCAGGCCCTCAATGGATTGAATAACACTGATCACATTGGGGAGGGCAATCACTTTACTGAGTCTAATTCAAATGCTAATCTCACCCAGAAACAACTTCACAAACACACATAGAAACAATGTTTAATCTAGATACCCCATGGCCCAATCAAGTTGATACATAAAATTAACCATTAGATAGATAGATAGATAGATAGATAGATAGATAGATAGATAGATAGATAGATAGATATAGATAGATAGATAATTAGTCATTTTCACACTGCTCACTGCTGATAAAGACATACCCAAGACCGGGTAATTTGTTTTAAAAAAGAGGTTTAATGGACTCACTAGTTCCACGTGACTGGGGAGGCCTCACAATCATGGCAGACGGTGAAATGCACATCTTACATGGCAGCAGACAAGAGATAATGAAAATCAAGCAAAAGGGGTTTTCCCTTATAAAACCATCAGATCTCATGAGATTTACTCACTACCATGAGAACAGTATAGGGGAAACCACCCCCATGATTTAATTGTCTCCCACCACGTTCCTCCCACAACACATGGGAATTATGGGAGCTATGATACAAGATCAGATTTGGGTAAGGACACAGCCAAACCATATTAGATAGATAGATAGATAGATAGATAGATAGATAGATAGATAGATAGATAGATGATAGATAGATAGATAGATAGATAGATAGATAGATAGATAGATCCTCAAAAAATGATTTAAATTGTTAAAAGGTAGGGAGAGACAAATGGGCACACATTTGTATAGTTTAAAGGAACCAGGGACAAGAGATAAAAATTTAGAAATCATTAACATTTGGACTAGATGGGACTAGATGAGCTCACCTACAGAGGAAAGGTAGAGAGTGAAGAAAAACAGCCTGGTTCTGCCACCAGTCTGTGGTATTTTGTTATGGAAACTTTAACAAACTAATGCAGAACTAATACATAATTCATTCTATAATATAGATTCGGTTCTTTACAACTAATAATTTTGTCCTTGTAATGTCCAGAGTTGAATTTTCTAAATGTAGGAAACTAACCTTGTGTACTAGAAATGGTCTTCTTAGGAAACCAACAAAACACAAGACATGTATTAAAAATAGTTTTGATGGCATCCAAATTAAGGATTTCAGTTCAACAAAGGAGCATACACACAAAGTTCTCTCAAGAAAGAATATCAAATTTAATAGATAGTGGAAAGACTAAGAGAAGATCTTTGCAATGTCTAAAATTAATAGGGGACTAACATTTAAAATACATTTAAAGAATACCTTCTAATCAACAAAAGTTAACAGAAAAAAAAAATCAAAAGAAAAAATTGGCAAAGAATATGTAAGGCAATTTACAGAAAAAGAACCCTAAATATCTATTTAAATATGAGGTAGATGAAATGCTATTGGTGGATATGTAAAAGTGTGCAGCCATTCTGGAAAGCTTGCTTTGTTTACTAAGAAATTAAGTATGTACATGATTTGCCCTTTGATTCAACAATATTATTCCCAATATTTTGCCAGAAAAATGCTTAAACTGGCCTGTATAGGAACATGTACGAGGATATAAACTATGAAGCTGTTTGTGTTATGAGGAATTGCTGGCAACTTTGGTGACCATCATTAGGAGATTTGATAATATGATGTGGTGGTGGTGGTGGTTATATCCTATAGATAGAGTAATAGATGTACGTAGACAAATGTGAATAATTCTTAAGAGCACAGTCGAGTTTTTAAAAAGTAAGATATAGAACAAGATTTATAGCCCACTATTATTACATAAATTAAAAACACAAAAGTATATTTTATACAAATGTATGTATATTTAAGGACACTTAGCAAATGCATTACATGATTCCTATAATGGAGTAAGGAGAAAAATGAGAAAAGTAATCAGGATGATTGGAAGAAATTAAAAGTATAAAATGAAATAAAATAAAAATATGGACTTTGACCTATTAATCACAAAGATATGATATGAAATGAAGTATATTAACTCAGCTTTCTACACCAGAATCATGCCCATATGTTCTGTCCATTAAAGATGTGATCATCAGTAACCAGTGTAATTCCAAACTAGTAGTGAGACAGTGCTTAGAATTTTTCTGCCGTCAGGTAACTCAAAACCATCGTAAAAGACCCAAGGATTTGAACATAACTCTCTCAGTCTAATTTTTTTTAATTACAGACAAAAAGTATTGTACAGGAAACATGTAATCCACTAAGGATGTTGTTAAAACCTCTGAATCAGAGTGAGGTTGTCTACCAGTCAGCATCTGGGATACCTTACCAAGAGCTATAGATTTTCAATAAAATCAGAGCAGAATACTGTCAGTAAATTCTGCTCCCTTAATTGTACACTGCTCACTGTATAAGAAACAATTAATTTTAAAATGAAAAATACAAAAAAGCCGGCATGAACTTTAAGGACTGAGCAGGAAGAGTGCTATGATGACTAATGATTATTGCTATCATCTTGTGCTCAAATGTGCAAGACACAAAGTTTGCTGCATGCAATAACTCATCTAAGCCTCACAATAATCTTATGAAGGAGGTGCTATCATTTTCCCCATTTCACAAAAGAAATTGAGGCTCAGTAACTTTTTTATGGTTATTTCTCACAGCTCTGGAGGCTGGAAAATCCAAGATCAAGGCACTGGCAGGTTCAGTGTCTGGTGAGGGTCCGGTCTTTCTGCTTCCAAGATGGCCCTTTGTTGTTGCATTCTCCATGAGGAAACAAACACTGTGTCCTCATATGGTGGAAGGAACAAAGGGGGAAAAGGCCACTCCCTCACATCTTTTATAAGATCATTAATCCTATTCATGAGGGCTCAGTTCTCATAACTTAATCACATCCTAAAAGCTCCATTTCTTTCCATTATCATATTGATGATTAAGTTTCAACATATGAATTTTAGGGTACATATTAAGGCCACAGTGTAGTTGGAACTGTGAGGTTCAAACAAGGATCTTATAGAAAGTCTCATGCTAGCTCAACTAACACAGAAAGATACCAAGGTATAAGCCACTGAAAAATATAATAAGGTAATGGTATTCACAGATTACCACCCCACACACATCTATGTAGCTTCTTAAGCAATTTCTTAACATCACATGTGAGTTGTCAACATCAAATGATCTTCCACAAAAAATTATTAGAATAGTCAATGTTATATATACTCTGGCATTTTTTAAAAAAGAATCATCTATGAATTTCACAACTACCAGTGAAGTGTGTTTTGTTATTTTACAGAGGAGGAACTTGAAGATAACTTCAGTTAAGAAATATGTGCATTAACAAAAAACCATAGGTTATGTCAGAGCTTCCCAAAGACTGTGCCATGGCATGCTGGCATGCCTTGAAGCTGTGGCAAAATATTGATCCCTATTCTTCAGCTGGAAGAGGTCTACAGCAGCCAGAATAATTGGCTAGTTGCTTCTGGCCTCAAGCAAGCCAGTCTGTTTACCCAATCTAACACTACAATTTTTTGCTTGTGCTATATTATGAGAAAGGTTGGAAAGCAAGAATTGGGTCTCAAGTCTAGGTCTTCACACCCTAGTTTTTTATTTTCTTTCCATTATACTATGCACCTTCTGAAATTTAGCTTTCTGACAAGCTG